CTCAAATTATTTTGATGTGTGTAAATGTATCCTGTTATCAAAAGCAAGTCTTGCCAGATTTTTGGCCTGCTTGACAAACCTCTGTGCATCTTTGGTTTGATTACTTTACTACTTACTAACTTTCCACCAAATTGACGTTTTCAAAAGCTTTTTCTGATCATTGAATTTAAGGACTGAGCTTCTCTTTTGTTGTGAAGCTTTGGTGTCTTCACCAGAGCGTTTGATTGTGCGGTTTATGTTGCAGAGCTGGAAAGAACGAGCCAGAACCCGAGCAGCCCGTCCCCAGGAAGGTGGCCATCAGAACACTTGCTTCGGTCGAAGAGATCGACCCCGACGTCCTGGAGAGCATGCACTCCCTGGGCTGCTTCAGAGACAAGGACAAACTGACCAAAGATCTGCTGTCTGAGGAGTGAGTGACAATGAAGGGACGAGGGAGCAAAAAGTCATTTACAAAACCACACATGAAGCAGATCGAAAGGGTGGGAGGCGCTGAGACGGAGAAGAGAAATATATTAGAGACTGCTTGACAAACTGTCAGCTTGATGAATTATTTCATTTAATATCTTGCGATGATCAACCGTCTTTTTGCACCGCTGGGTGCTCAGCTCACGGTCATTTCTCTTTGTCTCTACAGGGACAACCAGGAAAAGATGATCTACTTCTTGCTACTGGACCGGAAGGAGAGGTATCCCAGCCACGAGGACCAGAACCTGCCACCACGCAACGAGATCGGTAGGCCAGTCTAACCAACATCTGTCATTGTTCCATACATAAATGCCTCAACGACTATTTGGTGTTTTGCTAATATCTTTGGAACGCATGTTCATCAGCCCCACATGATGAATTTTAATGCCTTTGGTCATCCCCTTAACCCCTTAGGGTTTGGCTCAGCAGGTTTTGTTAACATGCTAAGCATGTTTATACAGTAAATCAAACTAGAGTAAGGCAAATGAAGCAATGAAGGTTTTAAATGCCAACATTTTTTTTGATCCCATATGTTTTGATTCTTTTTAATTATTTCATCCAGGGTTGCCACAAACCTATTTTACAAAAAATATACATGTTGTTTGATTCCAGTTTTGAACTATCTCTATTAACTTTGAAAGCAACTCAAATCTACCAATAACCTGTTGTCTGTCAGTGTCCATGCCAATTTAAACTAGTTTAATTAAGGAGTAGCATTCAGACTCCATCTTATAGAGATTAAGTATTATCTGCATTTCTGTTTGAGTAATTTCCTACTAATTTTTATTTTAATATTAATAGAAACTAGCAACTTAAAAAAGGTGTTTATATTTAATTCATTCAGGTTCATCAAAACTGATGGCTATCTCGTCTTTAAGTCTGACGTCATTAGCCATGTCTGGGTCCAAACTCCGCTTCAGGTCCCAAAGTCAAACAAACACAGCAGCATCACTGAGAGTTACAAACTGTCTAAATTCTTTCATCTTTAATAAAATGATCAGCGTTGCTGCTTTATCAGGTTTAACAATTAATTTTAACATCCAGGCATCCATGAAAACAGAATTTATTACATTTAACGATGTTAGACGTTAGCAAGAAGTTAGCTCGCTAGTTTCCACCTAAACCTGATATAGCATGTTCTGACTGAGAGATTTTGGAAACAAATTCAAACGTACAGCTCTGCTATCACTTCCAACATAAATGAAGACAGAAAAGTAAACAGCAGTGACGTTTGTAGGATTACTGAAGTTGGGCTAGCTTTTATATAATGATGTGCTACGTGGTGGCTAGCAACACAGCTATGTTAGCATAACATTAGCACAGTGAA